ATCTGAGATTCAGTGTCTATAACTTTTCTAGTCTGATATTTTATTCTTAAAGTAATTATGTCTAACTGATGTTACATTTTAAAAAGCAAGCACTGATAGCACCAATTTTTGAGAAGTAAATGAAATTAGCTTCTACAATACTTTAAACAAACCCAAAATTAAATTGGAATTCAGTCTCAACTTGTTCATTTTTATTCCTTATAGCTAAGATGAAACCTAATACTGGCCAAATAATTATAATTATGCAGTATTATTATGGACATCAATCCAATGAAGAAATGGAAAAATTAAATACTGATAAACAGTCATTATAAAAGTTTCAAAAATGTGTGACTATTAAGATTGGTATATATAGCTATACACACATCCTTATTTATAAGTAATGTATATAATTGTCTTCAAACCTACTAATGATTATTTTTCAATGCATATTTTACAGTTGACAGCTACTATTTGGGGAAACGTTGTTGCCTATTTCTGGGCCATAGATAAAAGTGTTTACACCATGTCATAGTCCATTTTGTGCTGCTGTAACAGAACACCTGAGACTAGGTAACTTATGAAGAGCAGAGATTGATTTCTTACAGTTCTGGAGGCCAGAAGTGCAAACTCAAGGGGCCCACATCATCCCATGGTAGAGGGCAGAAAGGCACAAGAGCATGTGGGAGAGAGCAGGGGAGGGCAGGAGAAGGCCCATCTCACTTTTATCTGGAACCTAGTCCCATGATAATGGCATTCATCCATTTATGAGGGTGGAGCCCTCATGGCCTAATCACCTAACATTGTCACGTGGCAATTAAATTTCAACATGAGTTTTGGAGGGGACATTAAAGCCACAGCACACCAGATTCAATGGCATAATCATAAGACTCTGAAGCATACCCTCCAAGGATATGCCCCGAGGATTTTCAATTGCAACTGCCCCTTAAAAACGTTTTTCTTGCATTGAATCTTGGAGGACTTGTTTTATTGCTTTAATTATTTTAAGTTTAAAATAATTTAACACCTTGCATGACCATTTGTGGTAGTTTTCTTTTTCTTTTTTGCTTTTCCCCTGCATTATAACTAGAATTGGTTGTGCTTACTATTTTAATCTTTTTTGTGTCACTTTCCCAGAGAACATATATTTGTCTGCAATTCCCTTGGATTTCTCAGGGCTAGCGTTATTTAGGACAGCTGCATCAGGCATGTTCCAAGTTCCAGGGAAACACTCTCTTTAGCTGCATCGAGAGGTACAAGGAATGTTAACAGGAATTCAAATAGTGAGCAATTGTACATTTCTGCCTATACACGCATTTCCCATGTCTCACTGAATTCACACAATTTATGCTTCTTTGTGATTTACTCATTCATTTTGTTTGCTGTATTACTGCAAAATAGAAAAGTGAGAGTTAGGGTTTTGAATTGCCTTATTGATGCTGTAAGTGACAAAAAATTATCTGGTCGTGGCTCATCATTCTTCTAGGTATTTGTAAAACCTATATTCCTGGTGGTTTTGTGAGCTTACCTTGTCTGACGGCTAGTGTGGTGGTATAGACCAAGAACAGAAGAATGTAATTGAGGAAACTCTGGAAGACTGGTGTGTTGGCATGGAAGTCTTCTGACAGGTATTTGCTTGTCAAGCCAATTCCACAAATAAGGAGGGATAACACCTGGCCCAGAGCTACAGAGATTAACATCTCCCTGAGAAATAAAGAGAAACACAGCCAAGATCAGCAGGAAGTCCACTAAAACAACGGCAGATAAAATTTACTGAGCACTGGTAACATGCACTGGTTAAATGCAATAAATATTGTTTCTTTTAATTCCTCACAGAAATCTTATGAGGAAGGTGCAATTATCACTGAGGTTTTACACAGGAGTAAACCAGAACTTAGAGTGGTTAAGGAGTTTGCTGACAGTCACATAACTAGGAAGCGGCAAAACTGGGACTTGAGACCAAATCTCTCCAAAGGAACCTAGCTTCTACCCACAGCACTCTGGCGCCCATGGAGGAAATGAACATCATCTTGACGCCCACCATAGTATTAACGAAATATTCTGTGATGCTGAGAGAGTACCTGAACACTGACGTGGAGGGGCCCATTCTGGCCTAGTCTTCAGGTTCTCGTGCCAGTAAAGAGACTCTTTTCTTTATAGATTGAAATCCTGGATCCAGAAACACTTACGGGGTGAGAGGTACACAAAGCCCTGAAGATCCAGAAGGACCATCCCTATCCATTCCCAGACTTTGGATCTCAGTTTGCTCTAGGAAGCTTTAATAAGCATTAGGTCTCTGCTCTCTTCTGTTCAAGTTGCAATTGCCTACACATTAAAACTATTATTCATGCAGGAGAATCAGTACTGGGGTGGCGTAATAAAACTTGTTAAATTATGCAAATACTTTTTGTGGCTTTTTCATAGGCACTGTCACCATAGACCTCTGTAGTGGGGATTAGTGACGAGGGTTCATTTTGCATACAAGTAAAATGCCCACACAAGCTTCATGGTTACATCTGCATGCATGCTCTGACATAGAAAAAGACCCGGGAAATACAAAGCAGATTTCTGCCCTCCCTGAAAGTCTCACCTGACTTTTCTGGTTTGTTTATAAAAACAGCAATACAAAATAAGAAAGCAGTAGTTTTTCTTTTTTTTTTTTTTTTAGTTTCATTTTATTTTTAATTGATACATAATAATTGTACATATTAATATTTATGGGATACAGTGAACTGTTTCGGTACTTGTGCACCTTGTATAATGACTAAATCAGGATAATTGCCATCATCTCAAACATTTATCATTTTTTTGTGGTGAGAACATTCAAAATCTTCTCATCTAGCTATTTTGAAACATGCAATACATTATTAACTACATCGCCCTATTTAATGATA